GGGCGGCCACAGATGCGGCGGTGCGTGCGGTCCCATGGTGGGGCGAGTGCGAAACCGCAGGGTGGTGCCTGTCCCTCGGCCCGGCCCAGCCGCGCTTCACCGGCTACCTCCAGCTGGCTCTTACTTTAAAAAAAAAAAAAAACAGTATTTTGCCTGAGGACTTGAATCTTTTTTTTTTCCCTCCGCTTGACTGACTTTCTCACACTCCTGTTCCCATAGTCTGCCAGCTAAGCCTGAGTCATCCTGCCAAGAACTAGACCTGGCCTATTCAAAAATGTGCTCACTCGCTCTTTCTTTCTCTGTGTCTCTTTCTTTTCTTTCTTTTTCTTTTTTTTTTTTATGAGTATACACAGTAATGTTTTTCCACCTCCTCCAGTACCTGATCTGCACCTGTACAGGGCCAATCCCACACGTATCACCTGATCTTGCCTTTTCAGAGACCGTGAGAAAAATAAAGTTCCAGAAAGAAGAGACATGTTTGCAGATCTCACCGGTGCAAAGCCCTTGCCTCTGCAGAGGCTTGCCTGCTGAGCCTTCAGAGTTTAAAAAAAAAAGGAAAATAGTAAAAGGGAGAGTGTCATGTTTAAAACTGCAGAAAAGTACAAATCCAGGCTTTCTTTCAGCTCCTTGATGGAGCCACAACCCTTTTGATTTAAAAACAAAGAGCAGCCTTCAGCGTGTAAGATTTAACTTCAGATGAGCAATATTTGACGTAAGCCTCAATTAGCTAGACATTTGGACAAACTCGAGCGAGGAAAAGATCGAGGCTGCGCTGGGGAAGTCACTATGGAAAAGCCTTTTCTCAGTCGCCTTTATGGGGAAATCTCGGAGACGACTGATTACCATGAAATCTGCAATACATTTCTGCAGAGTCTAAAAAGTTCTCTGGTGGACCTGTATTTTTTTCTAGTGCTGGTATTTTGGGGTGGGAGGGAGGAAAGTTACCACTCGTGCTCTCCCTCCTGCGGGGATTTGCAGAGGGCTCTGGAATTGAGGAGCTGGGCGTCACGGTCCCTCCCAGCCAGGAGCGAGAACAGGCTGTAATTATGTCCATGTTTATGGTAGCCGAGGAGCTGCTAACCACCTCTAATTGCCGGCAACAGGTTGGTGTCTCAGGGGGATGAGAGCGGGGCAGGCAGCGAGGACATGCTGTCTTTAGGGTTTGCCACCGCTCGCCCACCATAAGGACCTGGCGGCTCCAGCTCCTCCTGCCCACGCTCCCCCCCTGCCCCAGCCCAGCCCCTGCCCATTGGGAGGGTTCCACTTTTGGGGTGTTCATGGAGCCAGGCTGTGGGGTCTCCAAAAGCGTTGGCTTCTGCGGGGGCTTCTTGGAGCCCCGGCTGAGCGCTGCATGGGCCAGCGGGGAGGCAGTGACACTGGTGTCCCCGGTCCGCATCGCTGCCGCCGCCAGTCTGCTGCTGTGAAATGCCTTACACGTGCGCGGGTTGTGATCCCCAAGAGGAAGCATGTATACGTGTGAATTCCCTGGGGATCAGGAGAGGAAGGGGAGGATTTGCATGGAAGGATGTCTCTGGAAATGAAGTAGCCGAGGCCACGTTTAGGCTGGAAGGAGGTGGTGAAGGGGTTTGTAACCCTTGGGGGGACCTGGAACACATCCTTTGGGCTTCTCCAGCCCTACCTTTACTTGTGAAAGAGGTGTCAAGGGGGATATAAAGCCCTGCGATAAGGGGCTGCCCCAGGCACTGCGGTGTCCTTTGTCCCACAGTCCTCCAGCAATGTTTTTTTCTTTGCTCGGGCAGTCATCTTGGGTTACAAATTGGGAATTGTCCAAAACAGATTTGGGAAGAACCTTTAGACAGAGCACTAGGGCATTACTGACTGGCAGTACATCTTGGAGGAAAAAATGTGTTGGCAAGAAAATTTGGACTAGTCCTGGGCACGGGCCCAGGGGTGGGGAGGTGGAATAAAATAGGATGCTGCTGCTGGTGTGGCATGCAGGAGGCGAGGAGGTGGCAGGGCTGGCTGTGCCTGCTCGCCAGTCCTTTAGAAAGCAGCCAAGACGAGCAAAATGTGCTTCTAGAGATCTAAAAGCCTTAATATCCAAAGCTTACAGGGCCCAAGGAAATGCAGAAAATAGAAACCAAGTTGCTTGTAAGAGCTGGGGTGCACGCTGGAGCTCAGGAATGGCACACTAAGCTTTTCCTCTTTGGGTCATGGACTGAAAACCTAGCCTGGCCAGAGCTCAAAGTCGTCACCACCCTGAAGGCTGGAAAACAAGTGCTGCGTCTCAGGGACATGTCCCTGGCGCAGATGTCTCCTCTGGGCGGCCCTGCACACATGCCTCCACTCGTGGTCTCCGTCCCAGAAGCTCTTGTGCAATCCATACCCAACCGGCTCCCCTGGGAGTTGTCTCCGAAGCTTTGGGCACAGGTTTCAGAGTTTTTTTCCCTCTCCATAAATGATCTTTGGGACAAGGTCACTTTCAAACTGACAAAGCTCCCTAGACGAAGCAAGGCTTTCATAGATGTTTCTCCCCTACGCACCAGGTCCTGGCGGTGAGGAGGGCAGAACAGCTTTCATGCGACAGTGTCACTGCCCGGCCCTCCCGATGGCAGCAGCAGCTCGCTGGGTAGAATAACAGCCCTGTTTTGCAGCAGATCCTGCCCTCTCCATTGGGAACCCATTTCCCAGGCGCCTGCTGAGACCCAGGATCCCAGCGCTGGCAGATGAGCCTCCGGGGGCTGCTCCCTCCGGCAAGCGTGTGCCTTGCAGGAGCCGGGCTGTTTCACCTATTCCCTGGCTGCCACTGCAGAGAGGAGGCTGAAGTGTTTATTCGTTGTACTCCTTGCTGTGTGAGTCAGGCTGAGCATGGGGGAGCTCTGGGATTCTGCTGTGACACCCCCTGCGTTGGGGAGGCACCTGGGAGATCCAGGAACTGGTACCCTTCCTTCTATTGCCCACACGGCCAGGCTGGCATTCCCGGGAATGGCGTAGGAAGCTGTGGGATGAAGTGGCTGAGGCTTTGCTGGAGTAGCAAAGTACCTATGAGAAACTCCAGCGTCGCTAAGGATAGGCATGAAAGAACGGTTTTCATCTCCCCATCCCATCCCATCCCATCCCATCCCATCCCAGGCTGGAGCACAGCTCTGTGCCGAGGAGGGCTCTGGGACAAGAGCCAGGGTACCTGGATCTCTCGCTAAGCAGATTCTTCTTGGCAGGCTCCCATCCTTCTGCAACAA